CAAACACAGCACACCCTCGTGAATTGTGATAAATCCTGCTTCCACCTGCAAATCTACACGCTGCCCACGACAGCACCACCTGGACACGCATGATGCTCATGATGCTCGCGGTCCCGGCGGGCCCAAACACAGCACACCCTCGTGAATTGTGATAAATCCTGCTTCCACCTGCAAATCTACACGCTGCCCACAACAGCACCACCTGGACACGCATGATGCTCATGATGCTCGCGGTCCCGGCGGGCCCAAACACAGCACACCCTCGTGAATTGTGATAAATCCTGCTTCCACCTGCAAATCTACACGCTGCCCAGAACAGCACCACCCTACACGCATGATGCTCATGATGCTCGCCGTCCCGGCGGGCCCAAACACAGCACACCCTCGTGAATTGTGATAAATCCTGCTTCCACCTGCAAATCTACACGCTGCCCACAACAGCACCACCTGGACACGCATGATGCTCATGATGCGCACCCTCGTGAATTGTGATAAATCCTGCTTCCACCTGCAAATCTACACGCTGCCCACAACAGCACCACCTGGACACGCATGATGTTCATGATGCTCGCGGTCCCGGCGGGCCCAAACACAGCACACCCTCGTGAATTGTGATAAATCCTGCTTCCACCTGCAAATCTACACGCTGCCCACAACAGCACCACCTGGACACGCATGATGCTCATGATGCTCGCGGTCCCGGCGGGCCCAAACACAGCACACCCTCGTGAATTGTGATAAATCCTGCTTCCACCTGCAAATCTACACGCTGCCCACAACAGCACCACCTGGACACGCATGATGCTCATGATGCTCGCGGTCCCGGCGGGCCCAAACACAGCACACCCTCGTGAATTGTGATAAATCCTGCTTCCACCTGCAAATCTACACGCTGCCCCCCACAGCACCACCTGGACACGCATGATGCTCATGATGCTCGCGGTCCCGGCGGGCCCAAACACAGCACACCCTCGTGAATTGTGATAAATCCTGCGTCCACCTGCAAATCTACACGCTGCCCACAACAGCACCACCTGGACACGCATGATGCTCATGATGCTCGCGGTCCCGGCGGGCCCAAACACAGCACACCCGCGTGAATTGTGATAAATCCTGCTTCCACCTGCAAATCTACACGCTGCCCACAACAGCACCACCTGGACACGCATGATGCTCATGATGCTCGCGGTCCCGGCGGGCCCAAACACAGCACACCCTCGTGAATTGTGATAAATCCTGCTTCCACCTGCAAATCTACACGCTGCCCACAACAGCACCACCTGGACACGCATGATGCTCATGATGCTCGCGGTCCCGGCGGGCCCAAACACAGCACACCCTCGTGAATTGTGATAAATCCTGCTTCCACCTGCAAATCTACACGCTGCCCACAACAGCACCACCTGGACACGCATGATGTTCATGATGCTCGCGGTCCCGGCGGGCCCAAACACAGCACACCCTCGTGAATTGTGATAAATCCTGCTTCCACCTGCAAATCTACACGCTGCCCACAACAGCACCACCTGGACACGCATGATGCTCATGATGCTCGCGGTCCCGGCGGGCCCAAACACAGCACACCCTCGTGAATTGTGATAAATCCTGCTTCCACCTGCAAATCTACACGCTGCCCACAACAGCACCACCTGGACACGCATGATGCTCATGATGCTCGCGGTCCCGGCGGGCCCAAACACAGCACACCCTCGTGAATTGTGATAAATCCTGCTTCCACCTGCAAATCTACACGCTGCCCCCCACAGCACCACCTGGACACGCATGATGCTCATGATGCTCGCGGTCCCGGCGGGCCCAAACACAGCACACCCTCGTGAATTGTGATAAATCCTGCGTCCACCTGCAAATCTACACGCTGCCCACAACAGCACCACCTGGACACGCATGATGCTCATGATGCTCGCGGTCCCGGCGGGCCCAAACACAGCACACCCGCGTGAATTGTGATAAATCCTGCTTCCACCTGCAAATCTACACGCTGCCCACAACAGCACCACCTGGACACGCATGATGCTCATGATGCTCGCGGTCCCGGCGGGCCCAAACACAGCACACCCTCGTGAATTGTGATAAATCCTGCTTCCACCTGCAAATCTACACGCTGCCCACAACAGCACCACCTGGACACGCATGATGCTCATGATGCTCGCGGTCCCGGCGGGCCCAAACACAGCACACCCTCGTGAATTGTGATAAATCCTGCTTCCACCTGCAAATCTACACGCTGCCCACAACAGCACCACCTGGACACGCATGATGCTCATGATGCTCGCGGTCCCGGCGTGCCCAAACACAGCACACCCTCGTGAATTGTGATAAATCCTGCTTCCACCTGCACATCTACATGCTGCCCACAACAGCACCACCTGGACACGCATGATGCTCATGATGCTCGCGGTCCCGGCGGGCCCAAACACAGCACACCCTCGTGAATTGTGATAAATCCTGCTTCCACCTGCAAATCTACACGCTGCCCGCAACAGCACCACCTGGACACGCATGATGCTCATGATGCTCGCCGTCCGGCCCAAACACATCACACCCGCGTGAATTGTAGCAGATCCGGCTTCCACCTGCAAGTCATCGCCACAATGCAGAAGGAAGCATGAAGTTGTTGCGGCTGCTTGCTGCGCGTCTTGCAGAGCTGACACTTGCCTGCTTGTGTTTGGCGACACGTGGCGTCGCAGTTGCATCTGTGTCGGGGCTGGCTCTGCGGGGGGGTGTTTTTGCGGGTGTGGGTCGCTTTTCACGCATTGTCGTGCCACAGATGCCTTCACTTGGTGCCATTCCTCTGTCGTTGCGTATAGAACAAGTGGGTCCTCGCAGGGAGGTGGACCAAACCTTGGGCACTCAGACTGCCGAGGAGGACTATTGCCGATCCAAAGAGTGCCACAGTGCTGTTAGAAGTGAATGAGAAACATGTGAAAAAAAAATATATATACATATATATATATATACATATACACATATGAATCATATGAGGACCATGGCCTTAGCCTAATGGGACACAAGAACGGGAACATGGCGCCGAATGGCACCCTCTCATCGCTGCGAGGAGCCCGGCGAAGATGCTGACGGCACCGGTGGGACGGCAGATGTCGGAGACTTCTGACAGCGGGGCAACGTACGATAGCGATCGCAGAATCGCAGAGAAAAGAGGAAAGAAAGAGCCCGAAGTCACGTTGCTTGAGCTGCAGGCATGTGCAGTCTTGCATGTGTGACTTCGTTGCCGCAGAAGACCTTTCTCCCTGGCCCAGACCTCGTTTTGAGTCGCACCATGCCCCTTCAGGCCTGAGAAGGGAGAGGTGTTCGTTTTTTCCTCGCGCCCTCTAGACCACACTGGCGCCGGAATCGTACTGGCTGCTAACACCACACCCCTTGAAACAGCTGAAGGCTCGCACTGGCCCCAGCCCTAGTTGAGAAGGATGAGAAACTGGACACGTTATGGCCTCGACATTGTAGACATCATGGTCCTGTTGCATCATAGCGGCTTTTTGCTAGGGCTATTAGGCGATTCGCACTCTCATGCTCTTGGTGCGGAGGTGACCTTCGCCTCCGGCAAGGAGGTGAAGGTGACGACAACTTCGGGCAGCAAGGTCAGCGTCCTTCGGCAGGAGATTGCGGAACAGCTGGACCAACATCCCAGGCGGCTGATCTCAAGCGGGGGAACTCTTAGTGAGCATGTGATCGCAAGGCTCGGAGCCAGCTTCTCTGGCCTCTCTAAACACCTCACCCCTGCCGGGGCACCCCTGAGCTTCCACCCTGCCTGATTTCAAGCCATCAAAGCACAAGAAAAATCACACAACAAACGCACCAAGGAACGCAAGCGCATTAATAAAGCATAATGCAGGTATCTGGGGTGGTTTCGTGTGTTAGCTTGTTTGGTTTCGATTCCTCTTGGGATCCATTGTTGTGTGTGTTTTTGTTGCTTGTGCTGTGAGTGGTGCTTCCCTTTTTGCATTTTTGTCCTGCACTCCTAAATTTCCACCGCAGAAACTTGGCTTCAGCTTGCCATTCTGAAGACGATGAACGTCCCTAGGCCATAGCATGTTCATGTCGGCCTTAGCACGAATGTTCTTTGCAAGATTGCTACTAGTGTTTTTGTGTGCAACGTCTCACTTACCCGCAAATCAAGTCAATGCGGAAGTGTATGTATGATCCCGGCCGGCCTAACGGGCCTCAAAAAAATATGGAAAAGGATAAACAACAGTTCAAAGGAATCAAACCAAAAAATAAGAACCAAACCAAAGGCCCTAAACCCTAAGCCATAAGCCCCACCCTAAACCCTACCCTAAACTCGGTTGTTATCCTTTCTATTTTTTGATCCGGCAGCCCCCCCCCCCCCCCCCCCCCCCCCCCCCCCCCAAATGGCATTCCCCCAGCTTCGCCATCCTTGTGTCTGTTGGAACCTCATAGCTTCTTCTCTGAAACCCAATGGACCCAAAACCCCACCGCTACACCACAGGGGGCGGCGGGGGTGTGGCGGGGTAAGGGGAGGGTACTAACCCGGGTCCATGAATGCATAATGACATAGAGAGGGTGCTTGGATTAGAATAGATTAGAATTGAGGCGCCTGCTCTGTTTCAAAAATCCTTCTCTGCGTGGGTATTCAAGAATACCGGGTCTTGAGTTCCTCTTGTCCAGGCTAGAGTTAATCTGGACCCTGAGAAGAGAATAGAAAGGCAGGCAGTCCAGGTATCCTAAAATGATGTGGCTTTTGGGACGCTTTTTGGATCAGAAATCAAACGGCAATTCATAAAAAGGAAATGGTGGCTGCTATGACTGATACTCATCCCTTAAACTACCCGTCTTTTGAGAGCGCTCCAACAGATTTACATCGCCCGCAATAGGGATTAAGGCTGTTGTTGGCCAGGGGGCTGCTTCTTGATAGGGGCGGGCAGCGAGTGCATGTATGTCGCCGGGACGGCTGAAGACTACATATCCAAGCGCGCAAACGGAATATTGTGCACGGATGCCGTTTTGGTTTGTTGCGAAGCCTTGGTGTCCTCCCCCCTCCTCCCCTCCCCCCTCTCCCCCCCCCCTCCCCTCCCCCCTCTCCCCACCACCCTCCCTTTCCCCCCTCCCCCCACCCCTCCCCCCTCCCCTCCCGCCGCAACAAGAACGAAAAAGGCTAACGCACGTTTATGGCGGGTGGTGGTAGGTTATCCTTAAATCTCTGGGCTACTGTGTCTACCTGGTCAGCTAGTCCTTTCAGCTAAGCCTTCATTCAGCTCGCGAAATGACTTGCAGGCCCCCCCGGTTCGCTGTCCTCGTAGCTGTCGTCGCTGTTGGAGTGTCTCATCTTCTTCTCGTTCTCTCGTTCCAACAAGTGCTGACAGTTACGAGGATGCCCCCCCCCCCCCCCCAGCCTCCCGCAGCTGCGAACAGTCCAACCCTAAAGCCCCAAATCCCACCACCACACCCTCGGCGGGGGGGGGGGGGGGGGGGGGGGGGGGGGGGGGGGGGGGGTGGGGGGCGGGGGCCTAAACCACGACCAGAGGGGAAAGGGTTGGGGTGCATAAAGGAGGTTGGGTTTGAGAGTTAAGGAACTGCGGGGGCCAAGACTGTTGAAGGACTGCCATTTTGTGGACAATGCAGCACTTGACAGAAATAGCACAGCACTTCGGCAGTCTGGAGGGGGAACAATGAAAAGGTTAGCAACGCATATAAATGTACTAAGCAGCAGTCCTCTTCACTGCTGCTTGTGCCAAAAACCCCCGACGTCCTGAAACTCTGAAGCTCTCTCTAGCAAGCAGCTGCAACTGCTGAATTGCCGAGACCCAATGAAGCTCATCAAGAACCCGAAAACCCCTCGAGTCCTCATCATACACCCGAGCCAGGTGTGTCGAGCTAAATGCCGGCGGAGTCCTCGGAGATGAGGATTCTGTCCCCGACTCTCAGATCACCGTGGTGCTCCTCACCAGAATGCATATTTTGCCCTGCATCCGTTGCTCCCTGCCCACCCCTGGGCTTTTCTGTACTTTGTTTGTTTTTGAAGGTGCTTGTGCGGCTGCCGTGGATTGGGGCTGGCCCAGACTATGTCAAGGATGTAGGGGGCGGCGAGTTTGTCATTGAGGGAGAAGAGAAGACGCCCTGGCATCACCTATCCGGACTGTACAGTAGGGAGCTCGCTCGTGCTCTCTCTCTCTCTCTCTCGCTCGGTCTATTTTTTTTCTCTTTCTCTTTCTCTTTCTCTTTCTCTTTGTCTTTGTCTTTGTCTTTCTCTTTGTGCTTCTCTTTGTCTTTTTGGGGCGCACTGCCCCTCTCCAGTCCACACCGTTGAAAATTGGTGTCCGGATTGGCGTAGATTGGGAAATGCGAACTGAGGAGAGGCTCCAAGCTGAATGCGCTCTGTGAGGTTGGCTTCTGCAGTGGCCAGGAGTATTTTGAAGTTGAGGTCCTCGAGGGGGAGGGTGCCTTCATTGGGGTTACCACCAGGCCTGGGTTTGCGGAAGGCTACAAGATCAAGGGCCTCTTCTTTGGGGGGCCAGGCAACCTCAGTAACGGCTCCGGTGGTCTGCGAACGCGATTTGGCGAACATGTGAAGCCAGGTTCTGTGATTGGCGTTGGCCTGGACCTGACAGATGAGGCGACCGTGGGCGTCACGTTCTGGGAGAAAGATACCTGCCTTGGAGAAGCGTACAAAGGTTGCCCGCGGCAGCCAGGAGCCATGGTGTACCCTGCTGTGTGTGCAAGCAAGGTCGGGGATCGTTTCAAGCTCTCTCTACGGAGGAATCCACGGAAGCAGGAAGTGAAGACACCACATCCAGCGGTTGGATCCTGGGACTTGAAGCGCTTGGTTGTTGGGGGGGAGGTTGTGAGCCTTGACAATGCTTTGACCGTCAAAGGCAAGGGAAGGGGCAAAGGCAAAGGTTATGCTGCAGATGGAGAAGACGGAGGTGAAGCTCCTAGCAAAGGCAACATCGTCATGACCTTGTCCGAACAACCTGGCACGCCACACTTCCGGCTTGGTCTGAGCTTGGGAAACACTCTCATGACAACTGTCCCCTGGTCTCGAACCTAGCGTATACTCTACCATGATGGTTCACACTGCACAAAGAATAGCAGTAGCTGTGCCAGCGCGATCTACTGCTTTTCAATGTCAGTGAAGGTACAAACCAAGAGTGGCTCGATTGGCACCGAAGAAATCCAAATCGGCATGGTTGCGGGTACTATGATGATGTCACCGCCGCCTTTGATGGACTTGGAGCAAACTTTCTCGAGATCGCTGCCCCAGATCACCTCCTGGAATGTAACCAAGGACAGCTTGCAGATGCGTGGAGGAGATGTTGAAATAGACTTCGTCCACTATGACGCCCCTCCGGAGGAACCCATTTCCAGTGTCACGCTTCCATAGACGAAACCTCCAACCCCCAACTTGCCAAACAGCTTGGGGGGCAGATCATCGATTCCTGGAATGCTTGTTGCGTGACAGCACGCGCCTGCTTGCAAAAAGCTGGAAGGCGGTCAATAACACTAATCATAATCATAATAATTAATATTCATGATACTAATAATAGTAATAATAATACGAATAATAAAATGTATAATAACATAAAGCATGCCAATGGATCACAAGTGAAGGTGAATTGACAAAGGGCGAAGGGTTCTGTTCCGAGGGGTTCGTGAATGGAAGCCGTGAGAGTTTGTCGCGTCTTGCCACAAACCGCCCGACTTCCCAATCTAAGCAAGGGTTGTAAATTCTGAACGGACCCAATTCCGAAATGTCAATCCCCCTCTGCTGTCTCATCTTCCATCGCATCTTCCATGCGAAGTAAGTGCACCGCTTTGTGCCCAATTGGGTCAATGCTTCAACCTTGTGCGCAGCTCTTGGGTTGCGATAGAGCTTGGGGATGTGGCGAGGTGCTTTTGTGTTTAGACTCATGTTCCGGATATAAAGGGTGCGCTCGCAGTAGATGCGGATATTAAGCCTTAGCCCATCCCAGCCCTGTTACAGCTGCTTCTCTTAGTCGCAGAACCGAGCTCGAGCGGGTGGGAACTCCTGCTTTTCGGACCCCCGCAATGAAGCTTTACGCAGTCCTGGCACTTTTCGTCAATCTGGCTATCGTGTGGGGTGCAAAGATCCGCACACATGGAGCTCATGAAGATGTGCCCGATCCACCGAATTGCACCAGCACCTTCGGCAAGACGTGGGTTGAGCATTGCGAGAACGTCTCGCTGGCGGAATGCACGGGTTCTTATGTCAGCTGGGGCATAAAATGGCTGCAGGAAGCTTGGATGCTCTTAAGCACCAGTGTCTCTTCACACACGACTTGTCGGACACAACAAGAACCCTCTACTCGGAAGCCAGGAATGTGACATCAGCAGCTCGAAGACTGCCTGCATGCCCACTGGACACCGCTGCACACGTTCATCGGCAACTTGGCAAGCACCTGCTCTGGTACCCTGTTTTCTCAGGGTTGGGGGGATTTGTTCTCCATTGACATGTGGGGCTGTGACGCGTGACTAAGGAGCTGGTTATCGAGTACCTGCCGCTCGGCGCAACCAGGGGCGACGGAGAGCATCAAGGAAATGTTACATCCGCATCCTAAAGGTCCGATAAGCACATTTCATGCAGCTCAAGGGATACTCTTAGGATGGCTGCACCGTGATGACAAATGTGAAGTGCAACTGCGCTGGCTTTCGTGAGGAGTTCGGGGGTTAGTGTTTTTGGCCTCGCGTGACTTTCGTGTCTTGCAGTCGTCAACGGTTACCAGATTGCCTTCGAATGCCAAAGTCCCGCGCCTCGATCCTTTGGCTTTTCTGCCTCTTTTGTTCATTGGTGCATTAAAAGCACGGCTACCCTGTACATTGGAGGTACATTGGGCACATTAGCTACCATCTCCAGCATGCGCAATTTAATGGCCAGCATTTAAACAGCAACTTGGTGTCACTTCTCCCGACAGCAGCCGCGAATCGGCACCTTAAGCGCTGTTAATCTTTTCCCTGCTGTCGGCACACCATCCCACCGCGCGTCTCGACGTTGCATGCCTTCTGGTTTATTCGCTTATCCTTGGAAAACGATAGGGGCCCACGCTGAGGCAATACCAGTTCCCTATACACGAAGAGAAAAACGACAAGCACCAAGCGAGATGCGCAACGTTCGACAAACTGTTTTGTGCGTTGCTCATATGGTCCCGACTCCCAAGGCCACAAGCAGCCCAAGCCTGTTAAAGCTGTTAAGTTCCTTCTCCGAATCGCGCACCGAGCCCAGGATTGTTGCAGGCGGCGGTGGCGGAGGGTCGGGCGGTGGGGGAGCTGGAGGTGTCATTACGGGCAAACAGAAGCTGGACCCCAGCGAGGAGCCGGGAGTTTGGTTTTGTTTTTGCTGATTCTTGCTGTTTTACGTGAGTTTCCTTGAGCGTGGCTCAGCTGAAAATTTCTCGGAGACCTCTGCATTGTGGCTGCAGGCGCTGACGGTGGTGGTCGGTTCCGGCGGAAACTTCGGTGGCGGCGGCGCGAAGCGCGCGAAGGCCCGTCCCAGCAGTGGCCGCGACTCCCAGCTCGGTCAGCTTGTGGCCAAGGGAGGAGGGCACGGCGCTGGCGGGCGGACCCGCAAGAAGCCAGCAGCTTCAGGAGGATCCGGTGGCGGTGGTGCCTTTGATCGGTGGAAGGTCACGCGCAGCTCAGGCGTTGCAGGCCAAGGCTTCGGCGGAGGCAGATCAAACAGGAAGAGTTACGGTGGCGGGGGTGGGGGCGGCGGTGCCTCTAAGGTAGGGCAGGATGCTCCTAAGAAGCATTACGGTGGCAAAGGTGGTGATGGCATCAAGTCAGAAATCGCTGGCGCAGAGAAGTTCTACGGTGGAGGCGGAGGTGGAGGCGTCAATCACAACGGAAACAAGCTAAAAACAGGTTTCGGTGGACTTGGAGGCAACGGTGGGGGAGGACGGGGAAGTGATTTCGCAAGCAAGTGGAATAGGAACTGGTGGCGGTTTACCGGAACACACGGTGAACCCAACACCGGAGGTGGGGGGGGAGGCACGGACCCGGAGTCGCGATATGCTGGCATGGGCGGTTCTGGTGTTGTCATTGTGCGCTACCCGGCCGACACGCCCGTCCTCGTCGGTGGGCAAGTGGCAAAAGTCGGCGGCTACCAGGTCCACACGTTTGCAACTCCGGGCGAAGATGTCTTGGCCTTCAACAATGGCACCGAGACCCTGTCAATTGACTTCCTGGTCGTGGCCGGCGGCGGCGGTGGCGGTTCCGGAGGTGGCGGGGGCGGGGGCGTCGTCAAGGGCTCGAGGATGATCTACAAGGGGACGGCGCTCGGGCAGCATATGAAAGAGACCCCTGAAAGTTAACATCACTATATAGCAACATTTGTATGCTTCTTTGACTCCATCAAACGGCCCCTCGCTCTCTGAACTCGCACGCGTAGGTAAAAGCCTTGCTACTCTTTGTCTCCAGGAGTGGGGGGTCCTGGTTGGCGGAGGTGGCAAGTCCGGACAGGGCGGCGCCGGCAAGGCCAAAGATAAATCCAGGTCCAAGCTCGCGAAGAAAGGAGAGGTGTTCAATGGGGTTTAAGGCTCCTTAAGGGGTTTAAAGGGAGCTTAGGCTTAGGGTTCCAAGCCCTCCACCCAAAACCGGTTTCTGTCAGGAGGAGACTCCAAGCTCGGAAGCCTGGTCGCCATTGGTGGCGGGAAAGGACGGGCTAGTAGCGACTTCGGAACTCGCACGCGTCCAAGTTGTTAAAAACTGAAAGGAACTGTCGCAAAGTGTTGGCCTTTGTACAGCAGATCCCTTGCCTTTGTGGCATGTCTCTTTCAGGAGCGTAGTGTTTGAGTTGTTCAGTGATGTTTTTACAAAACCTCCGAACCCCGGAGGCGCCGATCAAAAAAGGAGACCTGGCCACGGCGGATCAGGTGCCGCAGTCCAGGTCAACTTGTCAACCCTGCGGAGCCCTCCCTGAGAAAGCCCCCGAATTCTGGACCCAGCATCCCATTTTATCCAAAAGCCCCAGAAGCTGAGCTTCAATCGCTGAAGCCCGACCCGACTTGAGATACTCAGCACATCTGCGATCCTGAGGCTCCTTAGCTTGAGGCAAGTCCCACGTTTCCCAATGGTTCAGTAATCCCTTGGCCACTCGAACGCCCCTCTCGCGCCATGAGACGCCCAGAAAAACCCTGAACCCCCTTTGTACTCAAAAAGGGTTCGTAGTTCAGGCAAACCTCTCAGTCTTGTTCTGCAACTCCAATCGTCTGTTGTGAAATCGTGTATAGGGCTCCATCCTCGCAGCTACGTCTCTCAGCACTGCGGCACTGCAATCCAGGGACGACATCCAAGAGAGATCCACACAGCCTCGGCTGCCTTCAAGACACAAGTGTTTTTGTTTTTTTTTTTTCATTCTTTCGGTTGCTACTTTGCCCAGGTGGCGGCATCGGCTTCGATCGCAAGCGTGCCTCGCCAGGGCGTGGCACGCCAGGGCAGGGCTTTCCAGGAGGCGACAGGGAAATGACTCAAGAGCAACTAGAAGGTGGCTCAGTGACCTGCAGTGACTTCGTTGCCTCTTTTCGGTGGGAGCTAACCCGGCGGGAAGCCCCTTATAGAATCCCTTTTGGAGGCTTGACAAAAAGGAGAAGTTATGGGGCTGGGGGCGGCGGAGGCGGCGCCGGTGGTCCTGGGGAGCCTTGGCTATTCGCGAGCAAAGGTCCGTACCAGGCTCCTTTTGTCAGCTCTTAAGTTGGTTTCAAGACCATTTTTAAGGAGACGGCCCCTCAGAAGCACCTGGGCGGCAAGGGAGGGGATGGCGTGTCCTCGGACATCACAGGAACGCTGAAGTGGTACGGAGGCGGCGGAGGTGGCGGTGTGAACCACAATGGCAACAAGCAGGTGGAGAACGGCGGTGGAGCTGGTGGCAAGGGTGGTGGAGGCAAAGGCAGCGACTTTGCGAGCAAAACACGGAAGAACAACAAGAAGTTCACGGGAACGTCCGGAGAGAAGAATACCGGCGGTGGCGGCGGTGG